TTTTTAATTGAAAAAGGTTTTTCAAAAGGGAAGGTTGACACTGCATTGTTTTTAAAGCATAAAGGTAAAGATTTTATTAGTAGTTCAAATTTATGTTGATGATATAATATTTGGTTCTACTAATGATATTCTTTGCCAAGAATTTTCTAAGCTAATGCAAAGTGAGTTTGAGATGAGCATGATGGGGGAGCTCTCATTTTTCTTGGGACGCCAAATCAAGCAAAGAAAAGATGGCATCTTCATTAATCAAGCTAAGTACGTCAAAGATATGCTCAAGAAGTTTGGACTGGAAAATGGGAAACCTCATGACACTCCAATGAGCTCTTCAACAAAGCTTGACTTAGATGAAGGAGGAAAATGTGTAGATGTTAAATTATATAGATCCATGATTGGCTCATTGCTTTATCTAACAGCAAGTAGACTGGATATTATGTTTAGTGTTTGCTTGTGTGCTAGGTTTCAATCATGTCCCAAAGAATCACATTTACTAGCCGTTAAGAGGATCTTTAGATACCTTAAGGACACTCCTAGTTTAGGACTTTGGTATCCTAGAGACTCTAGTTTTAGCTTGCATGCTTTTTCTGATGCGGATTATGGAGGATGCAAATTAGATAGGAAAAGCACCTCCGGTACTTGCCAATTCCTTGGAAATATGATGATTTCTTGGTTTTCAAAGAAACAAAATTGTGTTGCATTATCTACCACTGAAGCGGAATACATTTCAGCCGGTAGTTGTTGTGCACAAGTTTTTATGGATGAAACAACAACTTTTTGATTATGGAATTGAAGTAGGTACTATTCCTATCAAGTGTGACAATACTAGTGCTATTTGTCTCACTAAAAATCCCATCCAACACTCTAGAACTAAACACATTGAAATTAGACATCACTTCATTAGAGACCATGTCGCTAAGGAAGATGTAGTTCTAGAATTTGTTGATACTTTGCATCAATTAGCGGATATTTTTACAAAACCCTTAGATAAGGAAAGGTTTTGGACACTTAGGAGAGAATTAGGTTTAACTGACCTATCTTCACTTAGTGTTTAAAATATTTTTAGCACTTTTAATAAATCTTGAAAAATGCTTATAATAATAATTTTTGATTGCATTCTTGCTATTAGTTAGGGGGAGTTTATGATTTTTAGTGAAAATTAATTTGTTCAAATGAATGTTTAAAGATTAATTTAAATTGATTGAACATAATTAATTTTTGATTTATGAGTTGCCAATACCACTAGAGCATGCCTTGAATATGCATCGATGCATAAGACCATGCACCGATGCATCCGTCGGGTTTTAGGTTAAAATGCTTCATCCTCTTCATTTTTCTCAAAACCTAAAACACTAAACCCACGGCCGTTCGCCTCTCTCTCCTTCACATCTCTATTTTTGCTCAAAATCTTCGGGAAATCAACGGATTCTTCAAGTTTTTCATCCTACAAACCTGCTACAATCATTAAATCGCGCAAAACAACTCCTCATTCCCCTCAATCCGAATTTTTCAAGGTATTATTTTTAAAACTCTATTTTATTAATTTTTGAACTTAGGACTAGTTTAGATTAGTTCTAGTTTGAAATAATTATCGGGCATTGGTTATATGATGATTCTAAACTAGTTTCTATAACGAATTTCATCAAAAACACATAATTTTTCAAAATTATTTTTAAATTTCGAATTTTTTTTAAAAAAAAATTATTATTTTCGAAAATTAAGTGATAGTTTTGATTTAATTGTGTTGTTTTCATGAAAACTATACATATTATGATATTAGTTTAAAATTTTTGCCCACTAGGATTATATTAGAGAACCTTGAATTATTGAGGATTCATTTGAGTTTTGGGATTGATTTTTGTGCATATGTGTTTTTAAATTGCAGGTGATTTTTCTTTTCCGATTTCCCTGAACATGTCTAATCCCAAACGTCTTAGGTCATCCTCGAGTCGGTCTCACCAAAATCGTCCTCCCGCTCTTATCCCCCAAAATCCATCCTATATTCCTTCATCCCTCATTAGTACTTGTTTTAACATGCCTGAACACCGTAGGGATGAATTGTACTCTAGGTACATGAACTCCTTCCAATCCTATCGTATTAGGGAAGAGCGTATTCCTTCTCTACAAGCTATGATAAAACTTGAATTTGAATACCTCTCAATTTTTCGCCGATGGAAGTTTGATAAACTCTTTTCTCTTCAACCCATCGTCTTTCACCAACTTGTTCGCATTTTTTATTCCAATACGGTTTGTATTCAGAACTCAACTCAGTGCGGTACTATAGCGATTAGATCCTATCTTTTAGGACAATATATCACTATTACTTCTGAATCTATCGCATCTCATTTTGGTTTAGATGACGACGGTTTATTTAATGAGAAGGAAGATGTGGAATACCCATATCTCCCTAATGCTAGTGTCAGTACCTTTAGGTCTCACCACGATCGATTTCTTCACTTAATGATCTCTTGGTGGTTTAGACCATCCGGAGGTAGGTACTCCACACTACGTACTACAGACTTATGGTGGATGCACTGTATAAAGAACAAAAAGAAAATCAATTTTCCACATATTGTCTTTAGCGCACTTGTCGATATTGTAAACATCATTCCCTCAAAGCATGTAGAAACCTTACCTTATGGTTGTCTACTAAGCAATTTGTTTATCAAACTCGGCCTAGATGTCTCCCTTGACAATCCTATCCCGCTCCAAAACCCAATCAATATCACATCCTTAAAGAAATCGGATTGGAAATTGGATGAGAACACTGGACTATGGTCTTTTCGACCCGGTAAGCAAACCCAGGGAGCTAGTTCTTCACGAGCTACTCCTAGCTCTTCTCGTGTTCCTCCTCCGGCTGCGGATGATGATCCCGAGCTTCAAGGGATATTTCAAGATATTGACGATCCAGCTAATGCACCGGAACCCGCTCGGCAAGAAGATCAACCTCCACCTTATTTTCAATCTTTTTTAGAGGCGTTTGATCTACGATTTGCTTCCATGGAGTCTCAGCTTACTGAGTTTCAGAGGGAGATGCGTGATCGTATGGATGCTCTGACTCTTGAAGTTCGAGCTCATTATCCTCCTCCTCCCGATCCTCCGATGGAGTAAATTTGCTTGTCATGTTTTCTTGTTCTTAAAACTTGGATTGATTTTGATCTTTTGTGCTTTGTTTGGTACTTTGAACTTGATTAGTTGTTGGATGTTTGTCTGAGGATGCTTGAACTTATTATATATATTTGGTTGACATTTTAACGCTTTCTGTTTATTAATTTTGCATCATTAGAAATTTATGACCAATTATGTCATTTCACATTTTATTATGAATATTGTTTATGAAAACTAATGGCTAATCTCTCTTTTGATTGTGATCTTAGCAGCTTATTATTAATAAATCATTTGGCTAATATTTTTATGGAGTCTTTTTGATTTAACAAAAAGGGGGAGAAAATTTAAGATATGTTATAGTAAGGGGGAGTAAGTTTCAAAATCGATTTCAAAAATAATTTCTTAAACAAATCTTAAAATTACTCAAATGTTTTGTTATATCAAAAAGGGGGATATTGTTGAAAACATTTTTGATATTTCGATATAACAAATTAAATTTAAATGAATTTTAAGATTTTACAAATGATTTTACAAATTATATTCGATTCAATTAATCGAATATCAAATTATTACTCCAAGATTTTCAAGATCAATTTTAATCCTTACTAAATGTGTAAAATTGTGATTTGTACTTAAACTATTTTTGAAACAATTTTCACAAAATATTTTGAACCAAAATCAAGCCTTAAATCAATTTTTCAAAGGCATGCACCGATGCATATTCATGCACCGATGCACCGATGAATAAATTGAACATCGAATGCATTTCATGCACCGATGCATATCCATGCATCGTTGCACTTGGATTTTATGAAAACATCGAATGCATTTGATGCACCGATGCATATCCATGCATCGATGCACCAGGCTATTTTTCAAACATCGAATGCATTTTATGCATCGATGCATACTTAGTGCACCGATGCACCGAGTGTTCCAACGGTCAAAATATTTGAATTTTACATGGATGCACCGATGCATCCTTGCTCATGCATCGATGCATGAGACGCTCCCATCCAGAAAATTAATTGTTTTTCACACAATAACGGCTCTATTGACTCCACTAATCATCCCCAACGTTCAGAATTGATTCAAGGAGTATTTAAACGAGCTTAGAAGCCATTGACAAATAACAAGAAACATCAAGCAACTAGAATCAATAGAGAATCAAAGAGAAAGCATCAAACCTTAAGTTTGAGCATTTCAAGCCTATTTTCATTCAATATTCATTTTGCTTTCAAGAACACTTATTGTGCTCAATTGTATTTATCTTTGAGTATTCTTTTCTTTGTTCTAGAATTGTGCAAACATCTTACCTTGTGAGGTTTTCTTGTAAGTTTGCAAATTTGTAATCTTCTCTTTGAGAAAAGAGTGTTCTCAAGAATTGGGGTATATTCTTGAGGGAGTTGTAAGGTTATCTCTTTGGCCTCAAAAGAAAGAACAAATTAGTGAATTTGTTGGAAAATCCTTAGTGTGGATAGTTAAGGTAGTGGACGTAGACTTTGATTGAGAAAGTCGAACCACTCTAAATCGATGTGCAAATCTTTTCAATTTTCTGCAAAAGCTTCCACCGTAATTTTTAATTGCCAATTCACCCCCCTCTTGGTCGATTCCGTCAATCGATTAACTCAACAGTTCCCCTAATCAAATGCCATTGTTTATTCAATTCTTTTGTTTACATGATTAGCTCTCTTTGGATTGTGTTGTGGTAGTTGAGCAACTGCTTCCTGGTGTGCATGAAAGATGATAGTTTTGAAGGAATATATGAAACTTTGAAGGAGTGTGCTGTTATCAGCAAATCAATTGGAGGTATTGGTGTTTCAATTCATAACATTCGGGCCACAAGTAGTTATATTAGTGGAACAAATGGTACATCTAATGGAATTGTCCCAATGCTGCGGGGTGTTCAATGATAGTGCTTGATATGTTGATCAAGTATGGGGGAAAAGAAAGGGTATACTCAATTCTTTACGATGTTTTGTGAAAATTGTTGGTTTTCGTTTTGTTAAAAATGGTGTTGCTGATTCATTTAGGTGCTTTTGCTGTATATTTGGAGCCATGGCATGCTGACATTTTTTAGTTTATGGATCTTAGGAAGAACCATGGGAAGGTATTTTTATATTGCCTGAATTTGCTTGCATGGGCTATAATGTTTGGTTGTTAAGTTATAAAATTTGTATTTTTCTGCAATAATGTATAATATTATATTATATCAAATAATGTCTGAATTTTGTATCTACAGGAAGAGCACCGGGCTCGTGATCTATTTTATGCCCTTTAGGTGCCTGATTTTTTTATGCAAAGAGTTGAGAGTAATGGACAATGGTCATTATTCTATCCTAATGAGGCTCCAGGCCATGCAGATTGTTGGGGTGAAGAGTTCGAAAAGTTGTATATTCATTATGAAAGAGAGGTTAATATTATTGTACTTTTGTTATTCTTTTTTCCAACAGAAAAATAATAGTTACTGAAAGTTTCTGTTTAATATATAGGGCAAGGCAAATAAGGTTGTCCAAGCAAAGAACCTGTGGTTTGAGATCCTGAAATCCCAGATAGAAATTAGTACCCCTTACATGTTATTTAAGGTGATTTGTCCAAACAAGATTTGTATTTTGTTGTGTTTTTATGTTGTATGATGAGCAGTGGCGGAGTAACATATAGTTGAGGGTGGGCACGTGCCCACCTTGTAATTTGAATTTTCTTTGGTTAGTTTCTTATTTTACTGATAGTGCCCATTTTGAAATTTTATTTGTGTCCACCCCGTTCAAAAAATTTGTGTTGTTAGTCTATGTGTTCCCACCTAAAAAATATTTATGGATCTATCATTGATGATGTGTATTATGCTCTTAACCCTTTTTCCCCTCACTTCTATTTCTGATACTTGCAATAGAAAAAGCAATCAGCAAAATTTTGGCACCATTAAATCTTCTGTGTGCTGAGATAATAGAATACACAAGTACAACGAAAATCGCTGTTTACAATCTGGCATCTATCGCACTGCCTAGATATGTGAGGGAAAAGGCAAGTGATACATAGTTTTAACGTTTTAGATAGTTACTCCCTGGGGTCTGCTTATTTACACATTTAGCCTTATTACTTATCTTATCTTCAGGGAGTTCCACTGGAGTCTCATCCGTCTAAGCTTGTTGAGAGTAGAGGTTCTCATAATAGATTTTTTTAACTTTGACAAGCTTGCAGAGGTTTGATTCTTTACCTTACAAATGTACTCATCCATCTAGAACATATTTGAGATGGATTGAATGTAGTAGTATTGTTGTTAATATTATTATGATTTTGATTTCCTTTTCTTGGGATGTTGTGTCAGGTTACTGAAATTGTAACCAGAAATCTGAACAAAATTATTAATGTCAATTACTACCCTGTTTAAACTGCCAAAAGATCAAATTTGCGTCATAGGCCCATTGGTATTGGAGTTCAAGGACTTGCAGATACATTGTAACACTCTAAACTAATACGACATACAGTTGACCGATGAAAATACCACACGGAACCATTAGAGTGGCTAACAAAAATTTTCTTTTAACTTTTTCTGTTTTAAAAATGACTATTTGTAACCATTTATGTTAAAATAAATCAACTACAATTTAAATAAAATAGTTTGCATTAGAAGCTCCTAAAATAATATTTAAATCATACAGATCATAGTTTAAAATGAGTTACAATTCATAGTTTGCTAGAAACTTTCTCAACTCACTCAAGATTTAACTTTTCTTTTTCCTTTAGCTCTTAAGTTTTCTCTTATCTCATTAACTAAACAAAATGAGAAAATGGGTTGCCAATCCAACTAGGGGTTGAATAACATCTAAACAAACTCCCTATAACTCAAAACTTAACTAGAATCCATATATTATCACAAATCTCTCAAGACCTATTTTTGGTTCTATGCATAAAAACTAATGAAATGGAACTTAAAACAAAGCTTGGAGGATGAATATTGACATTCTCACCCTAGTTTCACCATACTATACTTGAAATGCTTGAACTCTCACTTGGAATGGGAAGAAAGAAATTATAGAAGAAAGAAGAACATTTGGTGAGAAGATAAGGGGGAGTGGTTCACGTAAAAACATAATATATGAGAGGGTTTTCAGCTTTCAAAATTAACCATGGGTAAACTACACTTTTAGTCCCCAAATTTCTAATTTACATAACACCCATAACCAACCACCAAAACTTTGGGCCCTAACTCCAACCCAAAAATAATAAACTTGGTCCATTAATTTATAAGGTCCATTGGGCTCATCTTTGGGTCTCGGTTTGATCCGATCTACTAACTCGGGGTTACATACATTCATCTTACTTGGCATGTCCTTTGATTCACCCGAGGTATATTTTATCACCAATACATTGATTCGGTATACTTTTCAACTCAAATTAGTTTTATCTGATATTTTTCTGGTTTTGAATTTCAAGCTCAGCAGCTGAGCAAGAAGATATTTGAGACCATATACTACCATGCTCTAAAAGATTCTTCGAGTATAGCAGAGAAAGAAGGCCCCTATAAGACATATAATGGGAGTCATGTCAGTAAGGTTGGTGATTTTGACAGTTCTTTTAAGTGAAATCAAAGAATTTAGATTTGGTTATTCAATTTGATTGGAAATTGTAATGCCTTATATTATCATTTATTGATCTGTTTTGCTCATTGTGAGTTATTTGTTCAATTTCAGGGCATTCTTCAACCAGATATGTGGGGTGTTACTCCTTCATGTAGGCGAGATTGGACTGCTCTTAGGGACATGATAGTTAAGAATGGAGTGAGAAATTCACTTTTGATAGAACCTATGTTGACTGCTATTAGGGATTCACATAGATATATCAGGAGGGATTCCATTACTTAGTCTATTAGGGAATTTTTGACATGTTGATTCCTAAAGAATTTTTGGTAACTTAATCCAATAATGGTAAACGATGATTTACAATATCCAGGATTTATATTAAATTATCTGAATTTCGAGTCAGATCAAGATCCCAACAGTGCGATACATACCAATAATTCAGACCAAGACCATTCATAATATTCTTTTGTTAATACTGATTGCACTAGCTGAAGTGATCACCATCAGAATCATCATAGATCAGTTCTAGAGAAGACGAATAGGTATTCCAAAGGTATTATTTACTTCTGTATTATATCAATATCAAGTATGCAAGGCATGCCTGGGTTGTGCTCCATTACCTTTAGGGACAATACAACATTTAAGTTTATTGGTATTTTTAGAATTTATTCAAAGACACTCACTTTTTACGGTTATTAGGATATTTAGGTCACTTCAACACTCGAGGTTATTTTCGGTCATCTTAGATTTTAAGGTATTTTAGTTTTTTTAGGGTTTAGGGGTATTCCAGTTAGTTGAATACCCGAGGTTATTTTAGTTATTTCACAGCTTGAGGACTTTTTAATAATTCTGTTCAATCCAAACATGTGTACTTTTTCTGGTAATTTGGTGAAATATAACCTTCCAGGGTTATTTTTCACTTTCAATGGCAATCTTGGTCATTTTATAGTCAATGACATTTTCAAATTTTTATTCCAATGGGCTATTTTTGTAATTTCTTAACCAAGTATTCTCAACATTTAACCTTTAAAAAAATTAATCAGAATTTGCAGATCCTGAAGTCAATTTATTTACCAATTAATTATTGAAATTAGAATTGCTTTCGATCGGTCTTCTAATTTCTTATACGAGCCATTTGAGTCTTGTATAGTTTTCTACCTTTATTACGTACTCAGATCGATTTCAACAATAATTGAATACACCTAATTAACCAATCATTTCCATTCATGCATTTACCAATTATTAATGAGTTCCGAAAAGCATACAAAAGTTAGTAGCATATTACCTCAATTTTTGAGCCACATCGATCGATCATTTTAACATTATTCGATCTCTCTTGATCACGAATTCAACGTACCATAATATCTAATATACAAAGCAAAATAAATTGCATCATAAACGAGTCTTAAATCTGAAAAATCGTATACAATAGAGAGATGAAACATTAAAAAATAGCTTATCAGTTTTGAATTTGGCGAAACAAACTTTGGATTCGGACTCAGAACGTCGAAAAACAAAAGTATGACTTTTAAGAAAATTCAACTTTTTGGTCAAAGTCAACTGTCAACCCTAGTCAAAGTCAACATGACCCGGTCAACGCAGCTCAGCTTGGTTAATGGCTTAATCAGCTCTGTTTAAAATGATTTAGTTTAACTTGAACTGGTTTAGTTTGATTTGAACCGATTCAGTTCAGTTGGCCCATTTTTAAAAACCCCTTAGGCTGAGAAGAAGCCCCACACGCATGGATGGTGCGTGGGGGCATGCACTGACAAAAATAACGACTGTGATCGGCTAGTTACTCCTTGGGCATTCACACACCACAACAACCAATTTCAAGTCAATTAACCAACCAAAATCATAAAAAAAACTAAAAAATACAACCATACAGTTACCCACGACGGACGGAGAACAAGCGACTGTGGGGCAATAAATTAAATTGGGTTGATCGGAATGGGTCAATGCCCATAATGGTGGATGCGGTGTTGTGACCAGAGCTTAGAATCAACGTGAAAACATGAAAAACTAAGGCAACATTTTTGGTCTCCGATGAAGCTTTAACCATCGATTCACGATGAACGACGAGAGTTTACGCTGGAGGGACATTGGGCTTGGATCGGACGGGGGTGGTGGTCCTTTTGGGATCGGTAGTGACCTTCATAGACAAGCAATGATCGGGAATGTAGATACATTTTGAATGATATTTAACTATTTTACAATTAACGGTGGACGTTGATGATGATTTGGCAGTCCGAGTTTGATCAAGAAACGATGAGGAATGCCTTGGTAGTAGCGGTGATGGCTTGGCTGGCCGGAGGCAGCTGAACGGAGGTGGCCGACAAAGGAACAGTAAAATTCTTTAGGAATTTGTTTCGGTTTAGTTTGATTCGAAGCACACAGGAAAATTAATTTTTGGGATTTAAAATCCTAATTAGATATCTTTAACAGATATTTTTAATAAACAAATCTATAACAGTAAACATAGCCTTGATAGTAAGAGTATTGTTGGTCATACCTTAGGTCCTTATTTCAATTCCCCATATCAGCATTCCCCTTCCCCCTTTTTCTTTATAATCTAACCAAAGAGGGTTAAATTAAAACTTAGGTCCCTGATTTTTTAAGAAATTTCCAAATATACCATACAATCCTCTAAATCTTACAAATCGATCTCAAATTTGATTAAATAAAATTTTAAATTAAAAACAAAAGAAAATTGGGGTGTTGCATTTATTTTCAGCTTGGGTGGGAATTGAGGGGGGGAAAAATGAAAA